TCTTTTATTTAATTTTTCGAATTAGTAACGAATGCACTTCAAAAAAGCTCTCTGAAAGGTGTGAGTCCAAATATATCTGCAAGGTTAGCCAAGTTTTGAACCACTAAAAAGCTCGGTAAACGTTGAAAATATTTTAAGAGGGGTTTTTATACGTTTTTCCTGGTTTCGAAATGTTTAAGTGACGAACGGCTACTAAAAAATACAAATCTGTAACAGGACTTAGCACAAAAGGAACACGTCCAGCCCTTTCCCTTGAGAATCGTATGTTATTAATTCAACTTTTCCTAAATACACACATCTCATCCCAACTCATGGCCATCTTTCACTTTTGCTCATAGTAACCCTCATCAACTTCATCAGCACTCCTGCTCCCCCGCCCCTCCTCTATGACAACTCCTCATCGCTGCCCATCGCCGGCTTAGCTGACCAAGTCTAGACTCTGGACAGGACTCTGGACTTCAGTGGCGGAAAATCCTTGCCAAACCGCACACACATACTGCCACAAACTGGCACTTTCGCCAAGTATAACATTATCATTGTATGCATTTGGGGGGCTTACCGCAAATGCACTCACCCGAGTCCAATTCCCTGCTGTAGCTCTAAGTATTCCTATTCCTCGGAACTCTTCATCTCGTTCGCATGTGCATACAAATGCCATATAATAACAGAGCAGAACAGAACAGAACAACAAAATTCGCTGTGGAAAACTTGCATTTTTCACTCCCCCGCTGGAAAATTTATGATTTTATTTCACGCTTGCTTTTCATTAACATTCCTCTTTGGCCAGACTCTTTTTCAGCCATTTTTATATGGCTTCTGTGTGTGGTGGCCGAAAAATTATAAGTTCGTTTTTGTTGTTGCTGCCGGGTAATTCCCAGGGTTTGCTGCTGGCCTGTCTGACGCTTGTTAACCTTTAGCCAGTTGCATTTTCCTTTGGCGCTTTTTTTTCTTGCCAGCTTGCCACTAATTTTGCACACACAGACGATGACAGTGGCCCTGGGGGCGGGTAAATGCGGGGGGCGTGTCCCTCAGCTGAGGGAAATCTCCGCATAAGTTATGCAGCAGGAGCAGGGAACATGTAGCAGTGCCACAAATTTTCTATATTTTTTTTAGAAAATGCTGCACTGCCCGCAGCCAGTCGGCGGCCTTTTGGCAGCGACTCTTCTGACCGCACATATATAATTATTTCATATATGAAACATGAGTGGGGCATGCACATCCCCATCTACCCTTAGCTTTCAAGGCATTTTTCGCATATTTTTTCACAGAAATCAGCAAAAGTGAATTAGTGCCGGGGAGCAGAGAAAAAATGGGAAAGCGGGCAACCTGCATTGCAGTTGGCCACCTAATGAAAATTGTTGTGAAATAAATCATTTTAAATAATTTTCACTCTCCATGACTGCTTGTGTCCATGTGTGCCACGAATGCGTGCGTGTGTGTGCTGGCTTTGGCTTGCCAAAGTTTAAATTGAAATGAAAGCCAAGTAGCTGCAATGGACTTTGCACTTTGCCTGTTACTTCAGCCGTGCCTAACTTTTTTGCAGCTTGCTAAATTGCGCTAACTGACCAAAGCGGAAGTTTCAATTACACCTACACCAGTCCAGAGTCACACACATGCTCATTCACACACATAGACTCTTTTTGGTCTAACAGCATTGACCTACACGGCGTATGCGTGTGCTGATATGACGCATACGCCCCATGGGCCACCGAACCCGCTCCCCCAAAGCAGCCAAGGCCACAAATCTGTGTTAGACCCGCAAAACTGCTGCAGTTTCGGTGCCTTATAGCCCAAAGTTGGAACATTACTTGCAGCAACTGACATTTTTTGTATACCTTGTAGTTAATACCCCTTAATTATTCAGCCTGAGTTGCGGCCATTGCGGTTTTTGGGGTACTGTTGAAACTTTTATCGAGCTTTATTATTCATGAATTAAATAGATAAGAGGCCGTATCAAATGATTTCAATTTAATTACATTTCACTGTTTAAGTTTCAAGCTTATTAATAAAGTACAATTGCAATTCCTGACTTTGTAAGACAACGAAATTTAATTCCTAAAATGAAATTGATCTCTATAAAGTAAATGAAATTATTCTATTTTTAGGCATTGAAAACCCAAATCATTCAGCGTGGAAATAGATGTGTTTCTTAGATTAGCTTAAATATTCAATAAATTTAAATTGTATGTTTATGATTTAATTGCTTAATTATTGGCTTCAGTTTACTTTATAGAAGTTGAACATTGATTTTTTAAACATTTTAAAGCAGCGTAAGTAAAGTATTTGGATAGACTTATTTCCAAAATTAAAATTTGAATATTGCCGTACAGTACTAAACATTTTAATATGCCCTACCATTTGCATTTCTGCCAGTAGAACCCCCTTCCAAGTGCCCTAGACTGACTTTCTACCACTTTCATGGCGCCCTGAGGGTATTGTTAAGTCCGCAAAAGTGCTGTAAGGTCTAGTTGGCAGGACCTACAACCAAGCGGCAGAACCTAAAACGGATATTACTTTATCAAGCGGCATAAAAAATGAGCCAGCGTAGATGCGAAGGGGCAGCCGAAAAAAAGAAAAAAAAATAAGGAACGGAAGCAATCAGCGAAATTTATTGTAGAGTCTCCTTTTTGGCGTAACTGATGAAGTGAGAAACTGAAAGACAGTCGAGGCCAACTCGCGGCAGCCAATACAAATGGGGTGGTGGGTGGTTGGGTGATTGGGCGGTGGGCGTTACGGAAGCGACAGCTGCTGTTAAGTGGGAGTGCCAACCCCCCCATTTCCAAGGCCACCCATTTTTGCCTTAGATTCACAGTCGCGGCGTGCTGCTTTTTATTGCTTTCTTTCTGTGCTTTTAACAGAGGCAAACGCCTAAATATAAAACCAGTTGGGAGTCTACTTATATACCGCTTACAACTCACACACACACACTTACACCCAGAAAATACCCACACAGCCACAGTGATTTGAATGCAAATGTTGCAGCCGGAAATGAAACCGACAATGCCACTTATTTATCTTTGTACTTGCGGCTTTGATTTTGTTGCGGCTTTAAGCGTTCCTGTTTTTCCGATTTAATTAAACGCTTTAACTCTGTGTTGACTTAGGCATCCGCATAAATTGTGATTCATAATTAAATAGCCGGGGCGTAACAAAAAAAGGCCAATTAAAATTTATAGACGTTTGCATTAAATAATTGCACGACAGCAAAGTTTGTTTTCGAGCTTATTAAATATAAAAAATTAAAAAAAAAAACGGAAATCACTCCAAAGACGTTTTTTTTCCTCCGGCCTTCCATTATCCCCGAGAGTCGTGAAAATCGCAAGTCATAAATGTTAAAATGGTGCCATCGAGAGTGGAGGAAATGGCAATGGAAGCTGAACAGCAAAATACCCATAATGCAGTCAAGAGAAAAAAGAAAAGAAATATAAACGGGAAGTGTGAGAAAAAATATTCATTGATTTTCTTAATTAAAAAATTTCACCATTAACTTTTATGTTTATCGACTTGGCCCCTAATCGCAGTTTGCCGTATAACTGAAAGGTTAAGTCAGGAGTTGTTGGCATTGTCCTGTTCGCCGCTTCTTCTTCTTCGCTAGCTTTTCCTAGCACTTCCTGTGCGCATTATAAACTAATTACAGATTATGATAGAATCGCACGCCACGAGAGAGCTCGACAATATGGAGCAGCAGCTACGATTAGAGATGGGAATATGGTATTAATTTTGAAAGATAAAAAAGATAAACCTTTTATTGTCTTATTGCTGAGCCAACAATTTATAATTACTAAAATATTTGTTGGAAAAAGACCTTTGGCTTTCCATTTTTTAAAGAAGAAATTTGATATAAAATAATATTAAATTGTGTTTAAGTCCAAGTAAACTTTAAATATAATTTAAAAACGTTTACTTTACCCCACGCAATAGGTATTCTTCTTCTTTTCAAACTTAAAGATAGACAAACATCGATGAAACGCATAAAATACAGCCAAGTCGCTCCGCCTTCTGTTCACTTACAACATCCCCAGTTAGAAATGCCGCTGGATGAGTTCCTTCATCCTTGGCGCACTTAAGTTTGTTTGGAAAATTAAAGCCTGTTAATGAGATTTCAGTACGCCAAGCCGAGAGAGAGTCGCTCCTCCGGACGCCGCGTCGTTTGGTAATGGCGCGTAATTGACAACGTAATGAGATTTGTTAAAAGGATTGTTCGTCCAAATCATTCGTAATTACCAGCAAAATAAAAACGCGACGAGGCAAAGGAAAAACCGGAAAATCTCTACTGCACACCCCAACCCCACATCCACGCCCACTTTCCCTCCGCCTCCGCCTCCCAAGCTGTTGTTATCAATTATGCAGCCCCAAAAACGCAGGCATAACGTAAACAAACATTTAACCAGCAACCTGCAACTTGTGTGGTGGCCGAAAATGCAGTAGGTCAGTTACAGCATCCGGTTCTCATTTTCCACCCCGCTCTCTCTCTCTAATTCCCATTTTCACTCTCTTTTCTTTGCAGACTCCGGAGAGCAGGAAAAGCGACGACTTTTAGTACAAAGAGCGCAGCATCCCTTGGGCCATTCTCTCGGCTTTTCACTCTCCCAGTAACCCGGACCACAAAGCGACTTTGTGGCCGTGTCGCCCGGTTTTTCCGGAGCCTCGTATTACTGGCCAGCTTAGGAGTTTTTAGTGCTGATTACAACGCGTGTCCGTTTGGTTGAAGTTGAAAAGAGCGGATGAACCAGAGTGTCGAAGGTTGATTTTCCAATTTTCTGATTTTCCGATTGGGAAACGGCAGAGGGAAATCTGTAATCGAACCCGAAGTTAAAGTCAAGCGAACCTCTGCGAACCTACGAATTAAAGTGAGAAAAGCATGTGCATATATGAATCAAAAAAATTTTCCCGTCCTTAAGGGATTATTAATAATCAAAAACAAACAATAGTGAAATTAAACAAAGCTGCCGAAAACAAACAAGAGCCATTGGCCAAACAAACAAGCTGTATAACAAACAAAGAAAATCAAGCTATTCATCAAAACTTAAATAAAGCGTGAATAAAAAGTGGCCAATAAAATATTATAACCATACCAAAGTAAAGTGAAACCATTTGCGTGATGGCAAAACCAATTTAACCAGCAAATACACTTCATTGTGCTCGAAACTCAAAGTGGAAGGAAAAAACTTGGCGAAATAGTTGCAACTACAAACTACGAACTACAAGCGCAAAATGCATTCGAGGCTAAAATTCTTGGCATATTTACATTTAATATGCGCCAGCAGCATTTTCTGGCCGGAATTCAGTGCAGCCCAGCAGCAGCAGCAACAACAGGCGGCGTCGTTAACCGAGAAAATACCATTAGGTGAGTCTCAAAAGCGTCGCCAAAGGAGCCACCTAGGATCTAGCATCCTTGTAGAAAGGATCCTGCTGCTCCTGCTTCTGCCAAAAAAGGAGCAGGAGAAATTGTCACTTACACTGCACTTGTAGTTGGGATTTGGCCGCAATGTGCTGCTCCTGTTGTTTGTTGTTGTTTTGCCCATATATACCCACTCCTTGGCTGTGCACTTCCCGGAATGTATTCCTTCCTCAGTTTCCTCCCATGGCTCGTTGGGGAAATTGGGTATGGCTGATGCCCAAAGATTATCCCTGACCTGCCTCGCTCCTTCCTGCCTTCCTGCACAAAGTACGCTGCAGCATGATTTTTAGTAGAATTTTATGTTCAATATACTTCACACGTCCAAAACGAGATTTTCTCCCAAGCGTTATAACAATGAGCGATGCAATTGGGTGCTATGGCTTGATTTGTTTTGGTTTTCAATTACCAGCTATTACAAAGCTAATCTCATGCAGTGTGTTATATTTTGTTCATTTGGAAAATTATTAGAATATTAAATTTCTACATATTATATTTCTATTATATTACTACAGTCCATTAAAGGAAATTTTAATCAGCTTTAATGGCTTTAAAAAAAGGAAATATTTAAAACAAAAAGCTTTCATCAAATAATGCTGTGCTTCGACTTAAACTTTTGATTACTTGTTAATTCTTTTAAAGTTTTAATAATTTTTGTTAGCTTTACTTTTACGAAAACTTTTATTTTTCTGCAAGTTCAAGAGTTGAAAAATGGTTGATGTGTTAAACAAAGTTATTATTATTTAATTTGTTTTTGTTAGCGCTTCGAACTTTAAAGTTTTTGTGAACATACTTTCTGATTATTTTAAGTTGGTCTTTATATAAACTGGATCGATCTTAAATAATTTATATATATTTAAGATATTAATACTTTATCTTCAATATTGGTTTTTTTCAAAATAAAATAATATGTTTTGTTATGAAATTATTTGTTTAAAGTTTATACTATAAACTTTTAAAATCTGTTTTATTAATATTTCTGATTATTTAAAATTGGCCTTTATTTAAGCTACATACATATTAAATAGTTTTTATATTATATTAATATTTTAGCTTTATTATTGGCCCTCGCAAACACCTAGCTTAAATATTCTTTGCATTTAAAATTTCCACACTTTGAAAATTCACGAATATTGCAAGAGGAAGTCACTCCACTCCAAGAACTCGCCTAGTTGGGCCACATTTTATTTGACGCTTTCCCGTTTTTTTTTGCCACCTTATTTTTATTACACGATGGCGTTCAGTCATTGCACCTGCAGTCATTTTGGCCCCGTTCACCGGAACACCCAGCATACATATATAAATGTCTGTATGGGAGTGTGCATGTGTATATATCTGGTTGGTGGCTGCTAATGTGACAGTCATGCTGACTGGCTTGCACTCAAATCCGGGCTTCGCCATGGCGACTGGAATTGGGATGCTATGTGGAATGGTAGGTGCTACCTGCCTGTTCAGGTGCCATGCAAAAGCGCAGCACAAAATTGCTGCATCAACACTTCGTTTGCGCTTTTTGTTGTTGCCTGTCGGGGCGGCTTGTCTCGCTACTTGCAAGTGTATATGTTAGTATCTGTGTGAGCCGTGGGTGTGAATGTGCATGTGTGGGTGTGACATTATGCTATCATTTGTGTACATATTTGCTCTGTGCGCTTTTTCGTTTAATATTAACAGGACCGTGTCAAAAGCTGCCTAAATATTTAACGAAGCAAAAATATTCGCCCTCTGAACTTACCACCCCCTATTTATTTATTTTTTTTTACCTCTTTCTATCCCCCGCAGGTGCGATCTTCGAACAGGGAACGGATGATGTGCAATCAGCCTTTAAATATGCAATGCTCAATCACAATCTGAATGTGAGCTCTCGACGCTTCGAGCTGCAGGCGTATGTGGATGTCATCAATACAGCGGATGCATTCAAATTATCCCGCCTGAGTATGTGTTTTTATCGAGCAATCCACTCTCTCAGTACCTCCCTCCCTCATTCATTCATTCATCCATCCAAACCTGCGAGAAGAAAAAAACCATTACACAATACATGGTGCCCCATTAATTATGTGCATTTTTTATTGAAAATTGGTTTTACTTCGCGCACTCAAAGCTGCAATTTAATTGTGCGACCTAGACACTGTCTCCTGATCGCGTTTCCATTTTCATTTTGCCACCAACCAACCATCCTGCACCATCCACCATCCATTTGCCACCCACTCTGCCACTGAAAAGAAGAGAAAAAAACGAGAAAACACAAAACGAATTTATTACTGTAACCTCCAGTTTGCAATCAATTCTCGCGCGGAGTCTACTCAATGCTGGGCGCCGTATCGCCGGACTCCTTTGACACATTGCACTCCTACTCGAATACGTTCCAAATGCCATTTGTGACGCCCTGGTTCCCCGAGAAGGTAAGTCCTCACCTATACCATGGGTAAAAATACATATATAAGTAAGGGGAAAAAAAAGAAAACTGTCATATGTAATTGATTTCAGTGTCGCTGTGCGCAATTATTTACATTTTGCGGTTTTGATGTGAACGATAGGGCACTGGTATGGTTAAGTTAACTCAGTTGTGCGTTAATGAAGTTGGCCAAAAGGTTGATGGGACAAAGGGAAAGTTCTCAAAGTGCCAACACATATTAGAGCGATTGCGTTTGCGAGTGGGGGTAGTCAAATATTTAATTGTCTGCTTGGCTGCGTAATGGAGTTGCGCATTAAACAAAGGGCACTTGCCCGGCAGCGAATAATTTATTTAATTGAAAAACGAGAAGCAGAACGATAGTGTTTTAATTTGTTTTACTTTAAAGCCAAGGATTTTGAGGCTTGTAAATATTTTAAAAAATTAAAAAACTTAGGTAAATATAATTTGAAATAACTAAATTTAAATTGTGAATGTTAACGTTGGAATTTATTAAAAAAACCTTTAAGCATAAACACAATTTTTTTATTAGATTTCCGTTGTATTTATATTTTACACATCCTTAAGAAATTTTAAGGTTAAATATGTTATAATATTTTTTTTTAACCATTTTCAGTGTAAGAGCTTGAATATGTAATTGTGATGTAAATGTCCTTATCTTTATTGGATTTTGCATAGATATTAAGAACCCAGTCACGACATTCTAAGTGTAAAATGATAAGGACAAAATCACGTAGGAATTATAAAAATATTTTATATGTTTTAGCCCTTTTTTTGCCCTAGCCAGACGACAGAGTTTTTATTACAACACACATCTAAGAGTCGAGTCCCCAAACAGTTTCAGATTTTCAATTACCAATCACATTAGCTGGGGATCGTAACCCCCACAGGCCCACAAAAAAGAAATGTACCCCAGTTAATTCCGAGACCATTTTGTCGATTCTGTGCGAAATGAAGTCATTGCATAAAGTGGAGCACTGGGTGTTGTATCGGGGGTTCAGAGTTCAAAACAGCGCCCAATTGTGTGTTCGCCGTGCCCTCAGACAGTGCACTAAATCAAAGCCAAAGCACAAATCATAATAATTGTAATTTGAAGAAAATTTACTACCAACAGCAACAAAGCGGACAGCCAGTGCGACAACAGTTGCTTTTGTTGTTTCTGGTTACTGGTTATACTGACTGTTGCTGTTGTTGTCACTTGCGAAACAGAAAGCCAAACGCTCCGCCATCCGGAAGACAATGCCAAACGAGCGGCGAACGAGGAGCGACTCCTACACTGAGAGCGAAAAAATTTATGACACGCTCTTGGCCTCTTTTATTTCAATCACTATAAATCAAGATATGGCGGCGGGGGAAAAAGTGGAGGAGCAGGCAGAAGCTGAAGCAGAGGCATCCGACTCCGGACTCCGACTCCAGTCAGCAAAGCACCAGCACACATACCGAGATTCGCACACATTGACTGCGCATTTGCGTGCTCCTCGGGGCAGTCCTTTACACAGAGAAAAAATAACCAAAATTGTTAAATATTTTAAAATTTAGTATTGTCAAAATATCTAATAATTTTCAATTAGAAACTTTTTTTTAACAATTCGACTTTGTTTTATAAATTATTTTTTTTTTTAACGTTTACATCGAGAAATCCCAGAAATTAGTGCATACTTTTGTGCACCTCTATACGAGATTTCAAATCCTTTACAATTTTTTATCATATTAATCCCTAATATTAAAAGTGCGTTTTAAAGAAGGATTATTTTGTAAATTAGGCGTGATACTATCAATTGGAAACCAAGACTATAGTTTAGAAAATGCAGTATTATTTACAAGTTTTTTCTCTGTGTTTGTGTATGTTGAGCTAAACGGAAACCGGGTATCTGTGTGTATCTCTTTGGATGTATCTGCTTGTTGGCGTCGCCTTACCGCCTACAAGTCCCCTGTTTCCCCTACCGCCGCCCTCTATGGACTTATATACATGTCGCTGGCGGGGCGCAAAGCTGAAACGCGTTTCATTTTATTATTGCTTCATGTAGCGTGCACATTACATTGTTACAGCCAGTTCATGAGGCCCTGGTTTCGCTTTGTTTTGCATACTTGTAGGTGCTCACGCCGTCGTCGGGGTTGCTGGATTTCGCTATCAGCATGCGTCCGGATTATCATCAGGCGATTATCGATATCATCCAGTACTACGGCTGGCAGAGCATTATTTATCTCTACGACTCGCACGATGGTGAGTTACTACATCCCTTACATTCCCTAACAATCCCCTACATTCCAGCCCAATTCCAGCCACACATTATCTCCCCGGCTTGTTTGTTTGCCCATTTGGTTGCTTTGTGTTTCGATTTCATTTCATTTGACTTTCATTTGCCATAAACAAATAAGGCGTCAATCGGGTAGGAGTGGATTTAAGTAGCGGTTATGGCAATGTTTCTGCTTGGGATTAAGTGTGTCAGTGCGAGGTTGGAGTGAAGAGTTCTGTTGCCTTTGACTTTTAGTTGGTTCAAACTGCAGTCAAAATAATTATTTTTTGTATGCTTTATTATATGTTACATCCACTTTAAAGGTAAAAAAACAATTAATATAATGATTAGATTAAAAAATACCTTTATTAAAAAAATAATTAAATGTTTTAAAATATTTAAAAACAACTGTTTTGTTTTTCCTAACTTTAAGCTCCCCAACTATGTTAATTTTATCCATTTTCTTCTCTATGTGCTGCCTGTGTTCCACTTTATTTTTTAATCCTGCGACCTCGAGCTCGTGTCTTTTCATTTCTGCTAATATGTAATTAAATAAGCGGCACAAAGAGCCCCGTGCGCCGTCTAAAAAAGAGGAGAAAAAAGTAAAGGAGGGGAAGAGCTCGGCAGACAGGGCGCTCAAGTGCCTTCAAGAGCGCTCTTTCGAGTGGCTCCTCAACGGGCTTAAGCAGCCAGGAGAAGGACACACGCACACACAGGAATATTCAACGCACACATATGCTTGAGTTTACCCGCTCTTTGTGTGTATATACCATGGGTGTGTGTGTGTGTTTGGGTCTTAGGCTGCTTTTTGTTGTATTGAAATTTATTTCAAAGCAATTTCCTGCCGTCTACGTGGGACAATACGACGACGGCAACAATTACGGCCAAAGATGAAGACATCAGATGGAGCCAAAAGACACAAAAGAGGCTGTGAAATAAAAAAAATGCCCATATTACGTATACGCCGCAGTGATTTTTCCCCCTTCTATCTCTGTCTCTTTCTCGTCCTGTCTCCTTTATAATGAGTTCACACGCCGTTGTAAGCCCGCCTCGCATGTGTGTGTGTGTGTCATGTGTTAATGACTCTGTGCGAAATAAAATTTATGACTTTATGCAACTGCTGCCTGCGCCACTGCCACTGCCTTAACATTATTATTATTATTTTGCCTTTTTGGGCCATTTTTTAATATTTGCCTCGGTGCCGAAAAGTAGGCCGACATTGTTGCCGCTGGCATTCGTTGCAGGAAAAGGAAATGCCGCAGCAGCATCAGTTCCACTTGCCGAGCTTTGGAGGGAGAAGAGCAGAGTAGGGGAGTCCTTCCATTCCATTCCATAGCCATTTTTTGGCCGACTTCGACTCGGGCGTTTACATTGTTAACGAAAGGCAGTGGCAGCAGTGGCGGAGTACCAGAATACCAGCACCATCACCACAGCGGGACTTTATATTTTAATGCCGCTGTCAGCAGTTTGTTGTTATTGCTTTGTTCAACGCCCCAACAACGCCTTTTGTGCCTTGTTATCACTCTGGTTTCGGGGTAAAACTGCTGCACACGGCGACAAATTGGTAGCATATTTTTTGGCACATTCATGAATACCAACAAAGAGTGAATGCCAACCCATCGATCCTTCGACTATATAGGAAACATTCAATAAAACAGCACCCCCACACGCACTGGGGATTTTTTCGGGCTGCTATTTATTGAAATGTTACCAGCACACCACAAAAAAGTACTTCAATTGTGTGTGCACTTCCGTTTCCGCTTTTCCACGCGAGTGTTTACTGCTCCTCCTGCTTTTCCTCCGTTGTTGGTTTGTTTTTTTTCAGTCTGTTTTTTTCTGGCGAATCAATGCAGGCAGCAAATCAATGACAACAACAGCATGGAGGGCCATATTGGACGTGCAACAAATGGCGTGTGAAAATATATACATTTTTTTCTTGTTTTGTGCTTCGTCCTTGCGGCTTGCAGAGATTGAAAGATGGTATGATGCTTCAACTGCGGGCTTCGAAAAAAGGGAATCGAGAATATGATTAAATGACACATGCTTCCCGAGAGAGATAAATCTATTCGAATGAATTCATTCAGCTTGGAAATTGTTTATAGATTGCCGGCATTATCATAAAACGCAAAGCTCTCGCCTCACAGTCCGCTGCATTATCAGATTGTTTTTTATGGCCCTCCCCTCCCAATTCCACTCCCGATCCAGATACCTTAATCCCCAAGCCAATCCGCCAAGAACCCGCACACACAATAGCCACTCTTTTGTTCAACTGACCGACAATCGCTTTTGAATGCCCGACAGGCTTACTACGACTGCAGCAAATCTATCAAGAACTGAAGCCCGGAAATGAAACGTTCCGTGTGCAAATGGTGAAACGCATCGCCAACGTAACGATGGCCATTGAATTTTTGCACACGCTGGAGGATTTGGGGCGCTTCAGCAAAAAGCGCATCGTGCTCGACTGCCCGGCGGAAATGGCCAAAGAGATCATCGTGCAGCATGTGCGGGACATCAAGCTGGGCCGGCGCACCTATCATTACCTGCTCAGCGGGCTGGTAAGTGATGCCCCTCAGGCCAAACTCCCTTTTTTCCGCCTGTGGGAGACTTTAATAAGCAATTATGGCTAGCTTCCGTTTGGGAGATTCTTCAGCTGAGAAATATTACCCGGTATTTTAGGATTATGGGAGTGTTTTGTATTCATTGAAGGTTTATTCAATGGGAAAAAAATTACGGTCCTGTAAGTTGAAGTATTAGTATCAAAAACTAAAGTTCTTGAATTTTAGCTTTCAAATTTTGTTGGATTTAAAAATAATAATTTAATTAAAATTGAGCTTCTAAATAGCTGTAAAATTTTGTTTGGTTTTTGTATCAACCAAGGCAATATAGTTTGACATTAAAAAAAATAATTTAAAATAGCTAGAAATTAAATCATTTTGTATAGGTATATTTGACATAAATAATATTTAAATATTTAATAAATATGTTTAAAAAATGTTTTTAAATTGAAAGAAAAATGTTTAAAAATCCCTAAAGAGGGGAATACAATTTAAAATCGTGAGCATTGGGTTTTATTTAATGAGTTTGTAAATTGGGAACATGAAGTACCGGGTACTACCAAAGTCGCAGCAATCGGCTTAACCTTTCTTAAATATTTTCCTCCCGCCCTAGGTCATGGACAACCACTGGCCCAGCGATGTGGTCGAGTTTGGGGCCATCAACATCACCGGCTTTCGCATTGTCGACTCTAATCGGCGGGCGGTGCGTGATTTCCACGACAGCCGGAAACGTTTGGAGCCGGCGGGCCAAAGCCAAAGCCAGAACGCAGCGGGGGCCAACAGCTTGCCGGCCATTTCGGTAAATCGCCAGCCAGCGTCATTGATTTGTTTCGCCTGCAACTCTAGTTTTTCCCCTTTTTCCCTATCCATTCATTCGATTTTTCCAGGCCCAGGCAGCTCTGATGTACGATGCGGTTTTCGTGCTCGTCGAGGCCTTCAATCGCATTTTGCGCAAGAAGCCGGATCAGTTCCGTTCCAATCATCTGCAGCGCCGCAGCCACGGAGGCGGCTCATCCTCCTCCTCTACCGGCGCCAACGATTCTAGTGCCCTTCTCGACTGCAACACCAGCAAGGGCTGGGTTACGCCATGGGAACAGGGCGAAAAAATATCCAGGGTCTTGCGCAAGGTGAGTGAAGGGGGTTGGAAAATAAAACTATATCTTAAAATATTATGGAAAAATATTTAAATGTAAAAAAATTTATATTACGTCAGTGGATTCGGATTCTTATTATTTTATGTCGATTACAAATTGTTTTAACATTTGGAAGGGCGATTCGAAAAATCTTTTATTTGAAATAATCATTTTTTTTAAATCCCTAAAGGTTTTCTATATTATTAAGATTTAACTTTCAGTAAGAATTTTATAAGAAAGACTACCTCACATTTTTCATGGTCTCCAAAATAATTTTCACCAAGTATATCCTAAAAAAGAATACCATTTCAAATAAATTAAACATATTTTTTGGTTTAAATCAAGATAAAATCAATAGGTCCGTCAATTTTTCTTTCCGTGCTTAACCCTTTGCCCTCATTGTTTTTGCCTCACCAGGTGGAAATTGATGGTTTGTCGGGGGAGATCCGTTTCGACGAGGACGGACGCCGAATCAACTATACGCTGCACGTGGTGGAGATGTCCGTAAACAGCACGCTGCAGCAGGTGGCCGAGTGGCGTGATGACGCCGGACTCCTTCCGCTCCACAGCCACAACTATGCGCCGTCCTCGCGTTCCGCGTCTGTGAGCACCGGAGACTACGACCGGAACCACACGTACATCGTGAGCAGCCTGCTGGAGGAGCCCTATCTGTCGCTCAAGCAGTACACCTATGGCGAGCAACTGGTGGGCAACGATCGCTTTGAAGGATATTGCAAGGATCTGGCCGATATGTTGGCCAGCCAGTTGGGAATTAAATGTGAGTTTAATTAGGAAACTTTAATCTTTTTTACTAAAAATACTAAATTTTCCACCCATTTCGGTTTTTATGCATTTTTAATATGAATATTTGGAATATTTTCAAATTAAATCATGCAATTAAATATAAACATAATAGTGTCTTATATTTTATTTAAATAAGTAGTAGGAATCTTTATGCAAATATTTATTTATGTAACCAAACTATTCCCAGATGAAATTCGCTTGGTGCAGGATGGCAACTATGGAGCGGAGAATCAATATGCCCCTGGTGGCTGGGATGGTATGGTGGGTGAGCTGGTGAGGAAGGAGGCGGATATAGCCATTGCGGCCATGACTATCACAGCGGAAAGAGAGCGGGTCATTGACTTCAGCAAGCCCTTCATGACCCTGGGCATATCCATTATGATCAAGAAGCCAGTGAAACAGACACCGGGAGTATTTAGTTTCCTCAATCCGCTGTCCCAGGAGATTTGGGTAAGTTTCGGGTTAGGAAATTTCAAAGAAACAAAACCAAATCTTTATGATAATAAATTCCACAGATAAGTGTGATTCTCAGCTATGTGGGAGTAAGTTTTGTTCTGTATTTCGTTACGCGTTTTCCGCCCTACGAGTGGCGAATTGTAAGACGACCGCAGGCGGATTCCAATGCCCAGCAGCCGCCGGGAATCATTGGTGGGGCCACTCTGAGTGAACCGCAGTCGCATCAGCCGGCAGTTCCGCCCAATGAGTTTACTATGCTGAATTCCTTTTGGTACTCCCTCGCTGCCTTTATGCAGCAGGGATGCGATCTCACGCCCCCTTCGATTGCCGGCCGAATTGCAGCTGCCGTTTGGTGGTTCTTCACCATCATCCTGATATCCTCGTACACCGCCAATTTGGCCGCTTTTCTCACAGTGGAACGCATGGTGGCCCCCATCAAAACGCCCGAGGACCTGGCCATGCAAACGGATGTGAACTATGGAACTCTTTTGCACGGCTCCACGTGGGAATTCTTCAGGGTGAGTGCAAAAGCCAGTTGCTCCTTTTGTGTTCCCCCACTGAAAGGAGTTCATTTTCAGCGCTCACAAATCGGGCTGCACAACAAAATGTGGGAGTATATGAATGCCAATCAGCATCATTCGGTTCATACCTACGACGAGGGCATTCGACGGGTGAGAACCTCCAAGGGGAAGTACGCCCTGCTGGTGGAGTCCCCCAAAAACGAGTACGTTAATGCCAGGCCGCCGTGCGATACAATGAAAGTTGGCCGTAATATCGATACAAAGGGATTTGGAGTGGCTACACCAATAGGATCGCCATTGAGGTAGGTTTTATTGGTAACCTATTTATTTGTAGCCACTTTTGAAAATAATTTGTAAAATTAGTGTAGAATTTACAATATTGAAAACTAAAAAGTTGTTTTGCAATATCAATTAAAAAATATTAAGAACGCAGAAAAAGTGAAGAAGAAAATTTCCAAAAATGCGTAATATTTAAAATACAACATATTTATTTACATGATTTTTTTGAAAATATTTGAGTCAAGGTTGTAAATATTAGATACACTGTTAGTAATATTTATCTTTAAATATTTTACGTCAATAAAAAAATAATTCCATATTAAAATCAAAGCTAACATTTTTTAAAATTATTATATTTGTTTAGTAATATTTTCACATTTAAATCTAATGAAAACCGAAAAACATAGGTAAAATATTTAAATTTATTATAAATCCTTTGGATTTACTAAATTTTTTATCGGTGAACTTTTAGAATTAAATTTGATAAATATCATAATAAAGGATCTAATGACCTTTACTAACCTAATTAATCTTCTAACCACTAACCAAATATAAAAACAGAAAACGCCTGAACGAGGCCGTGCTCACGCTGAAGGAGAACGGGGAGCTGCTGCGGATTAGGAACAAGTGGTGGTTCGACAAGACGGAGTGCAACCTGGACCAGGAGACCTCCACGCCCAACGAGCTCTCGCTGAGCAACGTGGCCGGGATTTACTACATCCTCATAGGGGGCCTCCTGCTGGCGGTGATCGTGGCCATCGTAGAGTTCTTCTGCCGCAACAAGACCGGCCGGCTGAAGGCGCCGGGCTCGAATGGATCCGCCGGCGGAGTGCCCGGCATGCTGGGCTCCTCAACATATCAGCGGGACTCGCTTTCCGATGCGATTATGCACTCGCAGGCCAAGTTGGCGATGCAGGCGAGCAGCGAGTACGACGAGCGATTGGTGGGCGTTGAGGTGAGCTATTATACCAGGGTAATCTGTCTAAAAATCTCCATAAACTATATATATTTAACCCACAGTTGGCCTCCAATGTACGGTATCAGTACAGTATGTAAGAGCCCCCAGGTTCGTTCACTGTACGAGCATCTCTTGTAAATAATTAAGGCATTATCCGATAACGAAAACGATGAAAAAGGCATAACTAAACGACGCTGGCAATCAACTCTCGGGTCAAAAGGGTAGGCGGCGTTCAAAAACTGTACAGAATAACCATGAATAATTACTATTGTATTTTTGATAAATGTATACACAAAGTGAGTGCATAAATTAACTATAACTATAGCTACGACTACCACTACAACTAAAACTAAACTGTACATAGGTTAAGTGAAAATTATCCCGAAATAAAAATAAAGCGTATGTTTTAAGCAAAAACCGAAAGGTGGAATTTTCTGTGTTGCACGTGGCGTATGAGCGATGTGTGTGAGGGTGCGTGTGTGTTCAAAAGGTAAGCCGCTTAGTTGACTTAAAGTTTTAACAAAACCAGCAAGGGCAAGGGTATGGGTATGGGTATAGGTATGTTGTATGGGTTTTTGGGGTAGAAGGGTGCAGAAGGGGCGTGGCTCCTAGCCTAAGAGGCTTTTGGCTAAAAACTTTGTGCGTCTGCGGCGGTGGCAACCGATTTACCCGCTGAATTATGTAGCAGCATCCCCAACTTAAGGCAAACACATGGCATCGGGATAATCCGTGGCCACAGATTCCATAGGCTGCGAATAGTTTTTATATTCTAATTTTAAATTGAAGTTCAAATTTAATGTAAGCTAATGCAAATATAATTATTTTAATTGTTATTTCCTGCGCACTTGTTCTGTGTTTGTGTTTGTTTTTGCTCTCGTGTTTGTGTTTGCTTGCGCGTTTGCGGTTTTGCTGATTTAATTAGATATCGGCAATCAAATGAAATGGAATTTGATTTTGTATAAATGTCTTGCAATTATTTTAATTTGGCTAAATTTGCGGGCAAATCGGCTTTGCGAGAATTAGCGTTATTTGATTTGATTTCATTTTCACAGTGCTTTGTTATTTTCTGTTTTTTTCCGTTTCGATTGCGGCCAAGCGTTTTGTGTCGCCACCTTTCCCTTGTTCGCCCCAAAATGTGTTTTTGTGGCCTAATTTGCGCATTGTTTGCTGGCATTTTTGGTTGGTTTGCCGGCAACTGCTTACGGGGATTTGTTAATTTGTACACACAATGGCGTGGACATATAAAATCCAATTGAAACGCCCTTCGATTGCTCGTAGCGTTATGCAAATCCCGTTGTTGCCCATCATCATTCCGTACCTCCACTTTCCTACTTTCGAGATGACGACGAAAGAGCGTGAGGAAAACTTGCTGCAGCGGCTTTGGGTTTACTTTAAGTATCTGCCGGCGCTTTGCATAAATTTTACGGCCAAGTTCGACGGAGTCACGCGCCAGTTTTGCAGCTGCAAGACGAGATGATTTGCCGAAAAGCCAAAAGGATTTGGGACACACAGTAGGCAGCCCTTTAGACTGGCGTATTTAATGCCACAATCGATTTTTCAATAAATTCCCGGAGCAAAAGTTAAAAGCCACAACCCCCCAAAGTGCACAAAAAAAGCGGGGGGAGGGTTGGAAAAAAATACCCAAACTTCTGCCGTAAATTTTCATATTTATTTATTTTGTCAATCCTTGTGCGCTGAAAGTTGCTCCTGAGGAATTGGCCCGACTTGCGATAAAAGTATCTGCATAGCTATCCGTGGGATACATGTATCTCCGCATGGGTCTTTGCATTCTGGCGAGAGATAAGCGTGGCTGCTTTTGGTAATGGCCAGAAATCACAACGGATTCTTTGCGGTGCCAACTGTCAGCGGGGCACCCATTCTCAAAGGATGGCGGATGGAATCTATGGATTCTTTGTCATACACGAGATATGTGCCACGCACTCGCAATCAAAAATATAATGCCCGAACTGCTTATGCTCGGGAATTTCTATATTTGCGAATATGGGTGCGTGTGTCTCGCATGGAAACTCATAATATTTGCAAATGATGAACGTGAAAGTTTTTGATAAGTTTTCCGGCGCTTATGTTATGCGCAAAAAGTTGCAATAAACTTGTAGTAATGCCAGAGCTCGGCGAGCACAAACAAATTCATAATTCTGTTATTGCAAAATCTGTGAACTTTGAGCTGCAAAATGCTGACCCAGCATTTGCGCAATATGCATTTTAATTCTGGCATAGAGCTGGAGTGCAAAGTCCTCTATTAATTAACCATTTAATGGCTCTATTATGGTAAATTATTATGGCCTTTGTGCGCTGGCTCACAAAATTGATAAAAATATCAATAAATTCGGTTCAATCTATGCAACTAAAATTGTTGCATAATTAAAAGGCCACCGTCAATTGGAAATATAATTTTTGCCTACATCTGCTGTCAATTGTGCTCGGTTTTTAAAAACTATTACCATGTAATAGTTAATTTGAATTGATTTCGCTGCCGCAGGGTAATGAATTATTTAATTTACTAATCCAGCCATCACTTTTGACAGTTTCAATTAGTACGCTTTTTATGCGCTAACAATGTTTTTGTCCGAAAAAACGGTAGAACCATTTTAATTTTGAAATCCCCCGAAAAAGTAGAGTGTGCCTTTTCTCTTATTTGAGAAGTACTGCAGCCACATGAAAGTAATCCAGCTAAAGGATCATTCCCAACCGCAAACATTTGCCCAAAAATATGTAGGCAGCACTTTGATTTGCCGTTTTTAATATTTTTGTGAGCACCCTTCTCCTTCGCCCGGGGTTTTCCATGCCCCCCCTTTGGAAAAAGAAAACCACATATGCTGGCACATGCTTATAAGTGAAATTTACGCATCGCTGCATACAATTCGCCAAAAAATGTTGCCAAGGACGGTAACTAATGTGAAATTCCAACCACTGCACCGGGTAGGAAGTTCATAAATTACAAGCCACAGGATTGGGGTTTGTGCTACCTTGAGATGATTGAGAGATATATTGGCAGCAAATCAAAGTAAATGAAAAATTTCACAGTTCCGAAAGTGTGTCAACCGAAAGGAATAGCTAGCTAGCAATGAACGAATGTGGAACGATAACGATTTCAATTTTGCAACGATTTTCACATAGTCAAATTTGCACAATGCATATTTGCTGGCTGCCTTGTTTTATTGCAGAATTTCTTGTTATTTCTTCATTTGTTTTTATCAAGCCAATAAATTACAACTAAGCTGGCTGCAAGAGGGGGAAGGGGAGGGGGTGGAACTCTTCGTGTGTAAGCTGGAAAATTTTGCATATATAAGCTGCTTTTGTTGGCCTAAATACAAGCAACTTTATTTCGGCATGTGTGTCAGTTGGTGTGTTCATAAATCTCTCTGCCTGCAAAATCAACAAATCAAAAGCCAAAAGGCAGCAGCAATGGCAGCCAAAGGCAATGAAGCGCAGTTGATTGCCAGAAAAATAATAATGGCCGAATGTTCTAAGTATTTTCAATGGGCTAGTTGGTACACTGTGAATGATATTGTTTTGATATTTTAAAATTAAGTTTAATTAAATTTAGATTGCTAAAAATCTAAATTAATGCCATATTAATAAATAAAAAGTTATTGGGAGACTCAGAATAATTATTTCCATAACGAAAACCTTTTTTGTTTTTTTGATACATAAAAAAAATACAATTTAACATACTAAAAATATAAATAAATTTCTAAATCTATATTATTAAATCTGAAAGTATTATATGAATTCTTAAAATTTTTTAAAATTATTTAACATTCAAGATTTGAGTACGAACAGTTCTAACGAAAATTCCCCTAATTTCTTTCTGTGTGCTGCTTTCGAGCTGGACTCCGGATAAACTTTTCTTTTCGTCATTGGACGATGCAACTGCCAGACTTAATGGGCGGGTGTTTTTGTTCCTGGGTGAGGTGCGCGTCGGGGCTTCTAAATAGCAAATTAAATGTAAACAACTAATGTTTCATTAGCAGCATAAAATGTGTGTTTAATTATTACCGAGGAACCTTGTGATGCCCCCTTTCCCCTTTGCCCCTTTTCCTCCTCTACCGCCTTTTAAAACTTACCTAAAAAGTTAGTTGCCACACACAAATACACATGCAATTAACTTTTGCTGTGTGGGCGGTGAATTTTGCAGGGGCAACTTTTGTTGTGCATTTCATCTGAACTTTTTCGTAAATAAAATAAGGCAAAAAAACAAAAAAATAAAAAGAAGCGAAATACTTTTACATATTTTTAACTATTTTCCCCCATTTCCCCTCTGTATTGAGCCAGAACTTTATCTGCGCAAATGTGCAACGCTTTGTTTGCCAGCTAACCGCATTGAAAAGTAGCTGCTAATGGTGGATGTGAGTGGGGATGGGGGCTCCGAATATCCCACACCACTTGTTGGAAACTTTGCAAATAGCCAAAGGCAACTTTGGCGCAAAATAAGCCCTATGATGCACGGGGAAGACAAACCGAAGGCAAAGCCATGGTCAACAAAAGACTTCGGAGAGCTGCATTTAATTTGCTGGGAATCCTCCAACCATCCCTACATCTCATCTATTTGTTTATTGTTTCGAAAGTCCGGCCAAAGTAACTGAGACGATTGAATTGCAATTCTAAATGTGCACTTCAATCCGTAGCTACAACCACAGCCCCTCCGTTCCATTGGAGGCCGTTTAAATGCGTTTTATACTCGAAACGTTTTTTAAAATGAATGACACCATAAATATGCATGAACTTTTAACACTATGCAGAAACAGCTGCAACTGCAGCTGCAGTCGTCGTGTCGACAAAATGCCTTTTTAAATAACAGAGTCCACTTGGAGGGCCGAAAAGCGGAGAAAAACAGCAACTCTTTGCCCAATTGGGCCCTCTGGCGATTGCTGGCCAAAATATTTATGCGTGGAGAATGGAAATGGGTGCGAGTGCGAGAGGCGGCGAGTGCTATGTGCCCATTTCATTACAACATTGTGCATACGCCGCGTTGCACATAATTGAAATGGCAAACAGTGAAAGGCAACGATTTTAACCAAATATGCAGAGACGTCGTTTTGTTTGGCTGTTTCTGTCGATGCCGATGTCGCTGTTT